TTATACGATATACCCTAATTTTCATGGCTAGACCCCCGCCTAACCGCCCCAACACACAAATCTTCAAGTCAGTGCAGTTTTTTCACGCCAGGTCACGGGATCATCCACAAAGGTCACCTCTAAGTCCGCGGAGATCAGGGCGAAGGAGGTGTTGCCCTCGCCATCTTCCAGCATCCACCGACCCTCCAGGGCCGAGACCATCACGGCCAGGGTCGGCCCGTGGGCCCCGACGCGGAGACAGGCTGCGATGTTTCGAAAGCCCCACGGCTGCACAGGAGGGTACCGACAAATGGCTGGGCTCGTGACTTTTAAGTTTTTTTAATGCTATGATATACGGTATATAATGGTACATATACGGTATGACTCACCCAGTTTTTCTCGGGTCACCCAATTTTGGCCCAAAAACCCCATCTGCTCCAAGTATGAGCTATTTACACCCACATGACTGGATCATCTAACCATCAAACATGGGATTTAACTACCAAAAAAAAGGATTTCGCTGAATGATGGATATGGGCATGTCTGAAACTTGGGTTGTTACACTGCCATTTGAAGAAAAAACATGAAACAAGTTTTAATGTTTTGGATTACCCTGCTTTGAGATTTTCACCCATGGTTTCATGTTGTGAGAGATTTATCTACATGAGTGGACTTACAGTGTCACTATATAAATTTCACGAAATCAGCTGACCTGGCTTGACGACTCCATCCACACTTTCACTGCAGCGAACCACCTCTGGTCGCCAACATATTGGTTGGAAGCAACTTTTACATACTTTTACAAAAAACAAGATGCAGCCCACGAACCCGAATGCTCACACGTATGTTAACGGTGATGATGTCGAAACACATGGAAATGCAGTCATGCAGAACACTTGAATTAAATAAATTATTTACACAGTCTTGTACATTTAAAGTGTAAAGTGTGGAGTGCGGAGTGTAAAGTGTGGAGTGTAAAGTGTGGAGTGTGAAGCGTGGAGTGGAAACTGTGAAGTGTAGAATGCTGAGTGTAGACTGTAAATTCTGGAGTGTAGAGTGTGGAGTGTAGAGTGCAAAGTGTAAAGTGTGGAGTGTAAAGTGTAAAGTGTAGAGTGTGGAGTGTAAAGTGTGGAGTGTAAAGTGTACAGTGCGGAGTGAGGAGTGTAAAGTGTAAAGTGTGGAGTGCAGAGTGTAGAGTGTAAAGTGTAGTGTGTAAAGTGTAGGCTGAGGAGTGTAAAGTGTCGAGTGTGGAGTGTGGAGTGTAAAGTGTGGAGTGAGGAGTGAGGGGTGTAAAGTGTAAAGTGTGGAGTGTAAAGTGTGGAGTAAGGAGTGAGGAGTGTGGTGTGAAGAGTGTAACATGTAAAGTGTGGAGTGTAGAGTGTAAAGTGTAGAGTGTAAAGTGTGGAGTGTGGAGTGTAAAGTGTAGTGTGTGGAGTGTGGAGTGGAAAGTGTAGAGTGTGGAGTGTGGAGTGTAAAGTGTGGAGTGCGAAGTGTGGAGTGAGGAGTGAGTAAAGTGTCAAGTGTGGAGTGTAGAGTGTAGAGTGTAAAGTGTAGAGTTTAAAGTGTAAAGTGTAGAGTGTAAAGTGTAGAGTGTGGAGTGTAAAGTGTAAAGTGTAGAGTGTGGAGTGGAAAGTGTAGAGTGTGGAGTGTGGACTGTAAAGTGTAAAGTGTGGAGTGTAAAGTGTGGAGTGTGGAGTGAGGATTGTGGAGTGAGGAGTGTGGTGGAGTGTGGAGTGTGGAGTGTAGAGTGTGGAGTGTGGGGTGTAAAGTAAGGAGTGTGGAGTGTAAAGTGTGAAGTGTGGAGTGGGGAGTGTACAGTGTAAAGTGAAAAGTGTGGAGTGTAGAGTGTAAAGTGTAGAGTGTAGAGTGTGGAGTGTGCAGTGTGGAGTGTAAAGTGAGGAGTGTACAGTGTCAAGTGTGGAGTGTAGAGTGTGAAGTGTGGAGTGTAAAGTGTGGAGTGTAAAGTGTGGAGTGAGGAGTGTGTTGTCAGGAGCGTAAAGTGTAAAGTGTAGAGTGTAAAGTGTAGAGTGCAAAGTTTGGAGTGTGGAGTGTGGAGTGTAAAGTGTGGAGTGTAGAGTGTAAAGTGTAGAGTGTGGAGTGTAAAGTGTGGAGTGTGAAGTGAGGAGTGTACAGTGTCAAGTGTGGAGTGTAGAGTGTGAAGTGTAGAGTGTGGAGTGTAAAGTGTGGAGTGTGGAGTGTAAAGTGTGGAGTGAAGAGTGAGTAAAGTGTCAAGTGTGGAGTGTAGAGTGTAAAGTGTAAAGTATAAAGTGTAGAGTGCAAAGTGTGGAGTGTGGAGTGTAAAGTGTAGAGTGTGGAGTGCGTAGTGGAAAGTGTAGAGTGTGGAGTATGGAGTGTGGAGTGTGGAATGTAAAGTAAGGAGTGTGGAGTGTAAAGTGTGGAGTGTGAAGTGTGGAGTGAGGAGTGAGGAGTGTACAGTGTAAAGTGTGAAGTGTGGAGTGTAGAGTGTATAGTGCAAGGGCGTGGAATGTGGAGTGTAAAGTGTGGAGTGTAAGTGGGGAGTTGGGAGTGTAGAGTGTGGAGTGTGGAGTGCATAAAACATGTTGGAATGTCACCAAGGGCCACGCTTGCCACGCAAAACGATGTGACAACCTGCTTGAAAACCTTCGAAAAGGATAGGTTTTGCAGCTTGCCCCATAGACACGGCGAAGCCACAGGAAAACCAGAGACTCGAGACGAGACATGTGGGAGCAGCAAAGCGAGCATTTCATGCGAGAATTCCTCCAATTTTGACACTTTCGACACGGTATAAAACATGTTGGAATGTCACCAAATGCCATGCTTGCCACGCAAAACGATATGACAACCTGATTGAAAACCTTCGAAACGGAGAGGTTTTGCAGCGTCCCTTATAGACACGGCGAGGCCACAGGAAAACAAGAGACTCGAGACGAGACACGTGGGAGCAGCAAAGCGAGCATTTCATGCGAGACTTCCTCCAATTTTGACACTTTCGACACGGTATAAAACATGTTGGTGGAATGATTGGAATGTCACAAAATGCCACGCTTGCCAGGCAAAACGATATGACAACCTGATTGAAAACATTCGAAAAGGAGAGGTTTTGCAGCGGCCCTTATAGACACGGCGAGGCCACAGGAGAACCAGAGACTCGAGACGAGACACGTGGGAGCAGCAAAGCGAGCATTTCATGCGAGACTTCCTCCAATTTTGACACTTTCGACACGGTATAAAACATGTTGGAATGTCACCAAAGTGCCACGCCTGCCACGCAAAACGATATGACAACCTGATTGAAAACATTCGAAAAGGAGAGGTTTTGCAGCGGCCCTTATAGACACGGCGAGGCCACAGGAAAACAAGAGACTCGAGACGAGACACGTGGGAGCAGCAAAGCGAGCATTTCATGCGAGACTTCCTCCAATTTTGACACTTTCGACACGGTATAAAACATGTTGGTGGAATGATTGGAATGTCACAAAATGCCACGCTTGCCACGCAAAAACGATATGACAACCTGCTTGAAACCCTCCAAAAAGGAGATGTTTTGCAGCTTCCGCCATATAGACACGGCGAGGCGACAGGAAAACCAGAGACTCGAGACGAGACACGTGGGAGCAGCAAAGCGAGCATTTCATGCGAGACTTCCTCCAATTTTGACACTTTCGACACGGTATAAAACATGTTGGAATGTCACCAAAGTGCCACGCCTGCCACGCAAAACGATATGACAACCTGATTGAAAACATTCGAAAAGGAGAGGTTTTGCAGCGGCCCTTATAGACACGGCGAGGCCACAGGAAAACAAGAGACTCGAGACGAGACACGTGGGAGCAGCAAAGCGAGCATTTCATGCGAGACTTCCTCCAATTTTGACACTTTCGACACGGTATAAAACATGTTGGTGGAATGATTGGAATGTCACAAAATGCCACGCTTGCCACGCAAAAACGATATGACAACCTGCTTGAAACCCTCCAAAAAGGAGATGTTTTGCAGCTTCCGCCATATAGACACGGCGAGGCGACAGGAAAACCAGAGACTCGAGACGAGACACGTGGGGCATTTCGTGGGAGACTTCCGCCAATTTTCACAGTTGGAGACCTACGAAAAGGAGAGGTTTTGCAGCTTGCCCCGCAGACACGGCGAAGCCACAGGAAAACCAGAGACTCGAGACGAGACGCGTGGGAGCAGCAAAGCGAGCATTTCATGCGAGACTTCCTCCAATTTTGACACTTTGTAGCCTCAAAATTGACGTTTTCCTAGGTTTTCTTAGGAACCGCTAAATTCAAACCTCAAAATCGATGTTTCGTGCGATGCTTCCGTCAATTTTCAGCGCATCTCACAAAATGCTACGCCTAGACGGAATCTGCACCTTGTCGCCACTTGACGCAGCCCTGCCAATGCGATTCGCAAAAAACACGCAACACGACACCTCTAAAGTGCTGCGCCTGCCACGCAAAATGACGATGGACACGTCCAAAGTGCTGCATCTGCCACGAAAACTGCAACTCATCTTGCGGAAACGTCGCAAAAGTATTGCGCCTGCCACACAAAACCACTTTCGACACGATACAAAACACGTCTGAATGTCACGAAGTGCCACGCCTGCCATGCGAAACGAAGCAACGAGACGTTTGAAACCTCCAAAAAGGACCCCTTCTGCAGGATAGGCACGGCCATAGGGCCCTCACGCGAACGGTTGCGAACGGTTGCGGACGGTTAACGGTTGCGGACGGTTGCGAACGTAAACGCAACGTCGAGCGAACACACCCTCAGCCCCCAGACCCCCAGAGTGAAACGGGAACCCTTGCTACGCATTCGGGAAAAAACGTTTAACAAAAAAACATTTAAACACCCAAATAGGGGTCTCCTGTAGAATTTCTGGTAAAAGAGGTGAGAGAGACTGTGTGTTTCCTACCGGTTTCCCCCGAAAAGATCTTCATGTGAGTCATCTTCAGATAGAAGTCGCAGAACACAGTAGGGGCATGGACATGTTTTGTCATTTAGTGCGACACTGGCCCATGCCGATCATATGCATATTTTATCCCAGAGCTGGTAACTCTATAAGGAATCCCTGCAAAGCTTAAAAAGTGGAAGCCTACTGGTGGGCCTCTTTAAATCGATCACCGGTCTGCTACGGTCATTCTGAAACTGGAAAATATAAGACGTGGATCACTCGAAGCGCCCGGCGAAGATGGCAATCAGAGGTAGAGCCAAAATCAGAACACCAAGGAACGACGCATCCCAGGCAACCTCTGGCATCTCTTGTGACTCGGATCGCCCTCCGTCCTGCAATTAAGGAAAAGGCACAGCTGCAAGGCAACGGTCTGCCTGCGTGTTTAGTCAAAGGGAAGCAGGAACAGCAAATGAACGGGTTTCGAATTCAGAAGCCTTTGGAGCACCCAGTGGCATGGCACTATGGACGAGAAACCACAAATGCAGGAACCTCTGCTGGGAAAACTATCTCTAAGGTAAACTAGCATAGATGCAGAAAACCAACAATTCTTTCCCGTTCGGAAAATGCTCCGCAAATGATGGGTTTTTCATGGGTTTTCCACATCTTATGTATATAAACGTTGACATTAACAGCTGACGTCGTCGCCTTCTCATCCTTCCCTGCCACTTCGGCCTTCTCAGTGGCACAAAGCCTGACCGAACGAAGTTGGGAAGCTTCTGGCCTTCGCGGCATCTTGCGTGGCAAATCCAATGATCAAAGACTCTAAGTGACTTAAGCTTGACCATGTGACAAATGTGACATGACAAGCCTCATTTGTATCATTGATGGTGTGAAGTTAGGTTGAAGAGTCTCAAGAAACAAAGACATTTCGGTCATCAACAAATGTTAAAAACGCCTTGCAAGTTGAAAGTCCAAAGTGTTGGCCACTGCTAGAAGGAAGACACCGATCAGCACAACCCGTGGCACAGCTCTTGCCACACGATGCACGGCATGTACCACCATGGCTTGCCAACGGGCACCACTTCTGTTGGGAATGGAAACACGGCCATGGACTTCCATGACAAGTTGTCCTGTATCGCATCTTTCAGAAAAAGCAAACAATCACAATCCTACATGAAAAAACAACATAGCCTACATTAATCCACATTATTCTTCTGTGTGGGGTGCTCATCTACTCTTAAATGGCTTCAGCACTTCGGCAATCTTTTCACGCAACTCTTGGAATGAAAATAAATCATGGACAAATCCAGAGGCAACACCCCAGTGATGTTGAACAGTCCCAAGGCTGTGAAAGATAAGGACCAAGTGGTGACTGAGGCCTCAAAGTGTGTTCAAACAATCTCAACAGTACGGGGTAGCAGGCACTTTATTCCAGGTAAATCTGGCGCTTTCATGCGCTTTCTGGGTCTATCCAGTCTTAAAATCTGCGATGCGCAGCTCGGCTGCAAAGATAGTCCACATGAGAACTGAGACTGACTCACGAACCGAGCAGCCACAACAATAAATTTCGCCAAATGAACATAGCTGCTATAAAAATAGGAGCTGCCGCAGCCATTGTGGCAGCGAACAGGGTTTGTCTTTCAAGGGATAGAACTTCAGGTCCTGAAGCCAAAACGCTTGAAAGATGTGGGGCAAAGCCATCATAAGCCGCTAAAAACCATGATTCACCCATTTCACGAAACGGTTCTGGATCTCCATTTCCTCTCCGGTCTCAACACGGCACTTCCCCAAAGTGGGGCTACCAACCATGATCGACAAAGCCCTGGCTCGGGACAACCTTGGCATCATTGCTACATGCCATGATTGAACGACCATATTCACTTCAGGTAAAAAAGCCTCAACATATGTTGATCATCACGCAGCTCAACTTCCATGTGCAAAGCATACCGCGAGTACATGAGTACTGTAAATAGACTGTCCTTTTTTGGCTTAGAAATCGCCAAGCAACGCCACATTTGTCCTCTTGGGGTCCAGCACAAATAAGAGGCGTCCACCAACACCAGAACTCGAACCAAGGGAGGTAATGGCAACAGCTGCCTGCTGGCCTTGGAAAAGATCCACGGAGCCGACACGAATCTGTTTGGCCATGGGATTCGGCGAGCGCGCCAGAACTGACCTGCTGAGACAAGGTTGCTGCTGAGACAAGGTTGCGATCAAAAAAGACTTCCATCATATATGGCAGGTGATGGAAACATTGATCAAAGGAAAGCGTTGAATATGCGTATGGATTGGTATGCTTTGTTTGGTATAAGAGTTGCTGTCAATTGTAAAATTCAATATAGTCAATAAACATCCAACTTGTCCCATCAGATTCATCTGATCATCTGTTTGTTCCACATCTTGGATGCTGCCTGATCATCACCACTTGCGCATTGTAGGGACAAACGATGATGATATCCGCAGGGGTCAAACTTCGCAGACGGGCTTCATCCAACACAACATCGCAAAGCAGGAGCTGCTCCACCACGGAGCGCACAATCTCGCACTCTTCCTGCCGGGCGGATACAGTTATCTCCGGGAAATCTTGGATATGTTGTTTGACGATGTTTGACGTGGATTTGCACACAAATTAAGGATCCCTT